TGTGTCCATCCTGGGGCCAGGGTGGGTGATCTCAGGTCATTGTGTCCATCCCGGGGTCAGTGTGTCCATCCCAGGGTCATTGTGTCCATCCTGGGGTCAGTGTGTCCATCCTGGGGGTCAGTGTATCCATCCCAGGGGTCAGTGTGTCCATCCTGGGGTCAAGGTGTCCATCCCAGGGTCAGGGTGTCCATCTCGTGGTCAGGGTGTCCATCCCAGGGTCAGGGTGTCCATCTCGGGGTCAGGGTGTCCATCCTGGGGTCAGCGTGTCCATCCCAGCGTAAGGGGAGGGTTCAGGTCATGCCTGAGGTCATTGCGTCCATCCTGGGGTCAGGGTGGGTGATCTCAGGTCGTGTCCATCCTGGGGTCAGTGTGTCCATCCCGGGGGTCAGTGTGTCCATCCTGGGGTCAGGAGAGGGCTGGGGACATCCCTAAGGTCAGGGTGCCCATCCTGGGGTCAGGGTGTCCATCCTGGGATCAGGGTGTCCATCCCGGGGTCAGGAGAGGGCTGGGGACATCCCTAAGGTCAGGGTGTCCATCCTGGGGTCAGGGTGTCCATCCTGGTGTCACTGCGTCCATCCCGGGGTCAGCGTGTCCATCCTGGTGTCAGGGTGGGTGATCTCAGTTCAGTCTGTCCATCCCGGGGTCAGCGTGTCCATCCTGGTGTCAGGGTGTGCTCCCTGAGGTCAGGATTGGTTATGTAGGGTCAGGGTGTCCCCAGCTGTCCCCCCTGTCCCCAGCTGTCCCCAGCCCCTCAGGCCGTGTCCCCGAGTGTCCCCAGCCCCTCAGGCCATGTCCCTAGGCTGTCCCCACGCTGTCCCCAGCTGTGCCCAGGCTGTCCACAGCTGTCCCCAGCCACTCAGGCCGTGTCCCTGAGTGTCCCCAGCCCCTCAGGCCGTGTCCACAGCTGTCCCCAGCCCCTCAGGCCGTGTCCCCAGCCCCTCAGGCCGTGTCCCCGGCCCCTCAGGGCGTGTCCCCGAGTGTCCCCAGCCCCTCAGGCCGTGTCCCTGAATGTCCCCAGCCCCTCAGGCCATGTCCCCAGCTGTCCACAGCTGTCCCCAGCCCCTCTGGCCGTGTCCCTGAATGTCCCCAGCCCCTCAGGCCGTGTCCCCGAGTGTCCCCAGCCCCTCAGGCCGTGTCCCCGGCCCCTCAGGCCGTGTCCCCAAGTGTCCCCAGCCCCTCTCGCCGTGTCCCCAGCTGTCCACAGCTGTCCCCAGCCCCTCAGGCCGTGTCCCCGAGTGTCCCCAGCCCCTCAGGCCGTGTCCCCAGCTGTCCCCAGCTGTCCCCAGCCCCTCAGGCCGTGTCCCCCCTGTCCCCCCGTCCCCGCTGTGCCCAGGTGGTGAAGGTGCGGCCCAACGACAAGGACGCCAAGCTCAAGTTCCAGGAGTGCCACCGCATCGTCAAGCAGAAGGCCTTCGAGAGGGCCATCGCCAGCGACGAGCACAAGCGCTCCGTGGTGGACTCGCTGGACATCGAGAGCATGAG